TGTCCTTAAGGTGCGAACATCTGTTTCTCCTGCCTCAATCAGCTCTTTGATTTTTCTCTGCAAGACGGGGGTCAATGTGGAAGGCAAAGCATTACTATTTTCTCACTTGAAGTACCCTGCCCATATTGATTCAAACCAACACATCCTTTGCTGCAGTTTTTCTTTCATAACTTGAAACATCTTTTGCAAGCTTAAAGGCACATCAGAATCATGAACATGAATTATCTTTTATATACATGCATTATAAATGTATAATATACTTGTGGGCATTTTGGGCAATTACCAAAATTTTCAGTACGTTTCAATGAAACAATTAGCTTGCATTTGTTAAAATTAAAAAAGCATGTGTGTCACAGGCATCGTATAATTGACTACTATTGTGAAATCTTAGCGCTCCAACCTGACCCACACGGGTCAAGTTAGGAAAACACCATTCTCTTTGATCCCATTCATTCTGTTTTTAGCTCCACTTTACGAAGTATATGGAGAGCTGTCCTACTCGCCCCGGCATCCAAGTCCACGTCCAGATTTCAGATTAAAGTTTTGATGCAGTAAAGTATTTTTCACTATAACTCTTTCATTTCTTCAGGTATCAACTTCAAACTTCAAATTTATGTTCCTAATCATTAACCACATCTTATGTGACAAGGTTCATATCTTGTACCAATATTTTTAGATTTATCTCCCCTTGAACTTAGAATTTCCTAAAAAATTATTATTTTTTACTGTATTTTTTTTTTTATTACTTAAAGGATCAACTTCATAATATATGTTCCTTATCATCAACCACATCTTATGTGACAAGGTTTATAACTCTACTACAATATTTCCAATTTATTTCCCCTTTAACATAGAATTTTCCTTTAAAGAAATATTTTTTATCGTAACTTTTTTTTTTATTTAAGGGATCAACTTCATACTTCAAATATATGTTCCTTATCATTAACCACATCTTATGTGACAAGGTTTATAACTCTAGTAACAATGTTGCAAGAATTATTTCTCCTTTAACTGAGATTTTTACTTGAGAAATTTTTTTTTTACTATAACTTCTTTGGTTTTAAAGGTATCTACCTCAAACTTCAAATACATATTCCTTATCATCAACCATATCTTATGTGACAAGGTTTATAACTCTTGAAGCAATATTTTCAGATTAATCTTCATTTGAAATTAGAAATATTATAACTTCTTTGCTTTTTAAAGTATTTACTACAAACTTCAAATATATATTTCTTATCATTACACACATGTTGTGTGACAAGCTCCATAACTCTAGTGTTACTATTTCAAGAATTTTTCCCCTTTGAAATTGGAATTTGTTAACAACAATAACTACTTGTCATGAGAAGAAATATATTTATATCATAATTAATTTGTCTTTTATAGTTTTGTATTCCTTACTGCGTCCAATATTTAATTAGTCGAGCTTCGCTGTCTTCTGTGACAGCTCTTGTTATACCCCGCACAACAAAGATGTAAGAGGGTTATACTGGAATCAGCTTGTCTGTCCGGACGACCGTCTGGCCGTCTTGTCGGTTTTTCCTTGTCCGCCCAATAAGTTAAGGTTCGTTTGACCCACAGTCACATTGGTGATTTACAGAAAAAGAGCAGATAAATGGTGCATAACTAATAAAACAGTATTTAAATGCTTATGAATGTTCTCATGTTTTATCAGTCCATGTAAATATAATTATGTATCTTGGAGGACAGTTATTTTTGAATCTCAGTTTTTTATGCTCCCCGAAAAATTTCGGGGGAGCGTATAGTCGGCGCCTTGTCCGTCTGTCCGTCCGTCCGTCTGTCCGTCCGTTGTCTTGTCCGGAGCATAACTTGAAAACCCTTGGAGATAATTTGTTGAAACTTCATACAGTGGTAGAGGGCATCGAGGGGGAGTGCAGTGTCAAAGAACCATAACTCTATTTTGCCCGGTTTTTGAATTATCTCCCCTTATAGAAAAATCTTGTCCGGGGCATAACTCTAAAACTATAACAGATATCAACATGAAACTTTGTAGGTGAATAGATCTCAATAGGTAGATGTGCAGTGCATAAGAACAATAAGTCTTTTCATCCTAATTTTGGAGTTATTGCCCTTTGTTAATTTTAATACTTTGAACTTTGTCCGGAACATAACTTGAAAACCCTTGGAGATAATTTGTTGAAACTTCATACAGTGGTAGAGGGCATCAAGGGGGAGTGCAGTGTCAAAGAACCATAACTCTATTTTGCCCGGTTTTTGAATTATCTCCCCTTATAGAAAAATCTTGTCCGGGGCATAACTCTAAAACTATAAGAGATATCAACATGAAACTTTGTAGGTGAATAGATCTCAATGCATAGATGTGCAGTGCATAAGAACAATAACTCTTTTTGTCCTAATTTTGGAGTTATTGCCCTTTGTTTATTTTAATACTTTGAACTTGAACTTTGTCCGGAACATAACTTGAAAACCCTTGGAGATAATTTGTTGAAACTTCATACAGTGGTAGAGGGCATCGAGGGGGAGTGCAGTGTCAAAGAACCATAAATCTATTTTGCCTGGTTTTTGAATTATCTCCCCTTATAGAAAAATCTTGTCCGGGGCATTACTCTAAAACTATAAGAGATATCAACATGAAACATTGTAGGTAGATAGATCTCATTGAGTAGAGGTGCAGTGCAAAAGAACCATAACTCTGTTAAGCCTTATTTTTGAATAATCTCCCCTTTTAGAAAAATCTTGTCCAGGACATAGCTGTAAAACTATAAGAGATATCAACATGAAACTTTGTAGGTAGATAAATCTCAATGGGTAGATGTGCAGTGCACAAGAATCATAACTCTACCTTGCCTAATTCTGGAGTAATTGCCCTTTGTTTATTTTTACTTTTTGAATTGTCCAGGACATAACTTGGAAATCATAAGAGATATCATCAAGAAACTTTGTAGGTTGATAGATCACATTGATTAGAAGTGCAGTCCAAAGAACTGTAACTCTGCCTTGCCTAATTTTGGAATTATTGCACTTTGAACTTTTTCCACGGACATAACTCTGAAACTACAAGAGGTGTACTTTCCTGTGTCCAAAACCTATTCGGGGAGCATCACCCGGCTCAAACTGGGCTCTTGTTTAACTTTCACTAGAGGTATTTGTGGCTGTCTTTCTATTTTTACTGCCTCCTTCACGGTCTTTGGCTGTCCTCAACCATTCTCTAGTTATAAATTCCACCTCTGCTGTGATTATTCCTGGTGTAGTCTTCTGCACTGCCTCTGTAAATTTTATAAAAAAATAAACAAATGCTCAAATGTTCATTTTGACTTTTTACAGTCATATGCTCTGTATGTCTTCATTAAATTTTTGTAAGTTCAGGAAATTATTTGAATCAGATCACCTGCTCTTCATTGTTATGTCAACTGAAATGTACATTCCTTCAAAACGTTTGAGTAACAAATAATGGGCTTTATACTTGTATAGATTTTGAATTTCTGAATAATGATAAATAACAAACATAATAAGTTTGCCTGCTTTTTCTATTTTAACTGATAGATTAATCAGAAAACCAAAACCAAAACAGTATATTAAAACAAAACAAAAATGAAAAAAAAACAAACTTTATAACTTACTACATACTACTACTGTTATTTCAAAAATCCAAATTGAAGTTTTCCTTTCTTTCCATACCAACTTGAACACTCCGCCAAACAGCTTTTAATAACGTGGCTCAGCACGAGCCTGACCATATCTGGTGTGTTTTTATCACCAATCAATGACAAGTAGTTGATCTGAAATGTTAAGTGTAATTTTTCATATGCCAAGGCTTAACACTAATAACAGTCTTTAAACATGACAAGATTTTAATTTTTGATAAAAACTATGAATGTGAAGGAAAATATTTATTTAAAAACAAATCTTATTATCTTTTTTCAAAGTATTTTATGGTTTTTACTGTATTCTTATTGCCTTAAGCTTTTACAGTTAAAATTACATGTTTTAAAATTTACAAAAAAGAACTAAATGTAATAAATTTATTACTTTATAATGAATGGGCCAAAAACAAACATTTGCACTTAGAGGCACTAATTAATAAGGGCATTGAGACAGTACATGTATATACTGATAGACAAAAATATACACTTGTAGAGACAGGCTTTCTTACCATGCTGTTGAGAACAGTCTGTTGTCTCAACACTTTTTCCAAACCTTCAACATCCTCCAAATATACAGTCTGTTGTCTCAACACTTTTTCCAACCCTTCAACATCATCCAAAGATTGGAGGGGAAGGGTAATACTTTCAGGCAGATTGAATGTACTGGAGCTGCTCGCTTTTGATGCTTCTAGCTCCTGCACCATGTCTGGAAGTGTTTCGAGCATTCTGCGCTGTTGGTTCTGTTCAATTCTTATTTTTTCAATACTTGTGAATTCTTGTTTTGAGAAGTGAACATGATTTTTATCTAAAATTTGGCAAGACAAAATATGTTATTACACAAAATCAGGAAAAAAATCACAGTAATGTCACTGTTTTACATACTTTCCTAAAGGCTATATGTTCATCATTCAGAAAGATGACAAGTCCTAGCTTGAAATAAACAACATTAAATTTTTACAAATTAATCTTTATATAAGCACCCCTTGTTTTTTTTAAGAAATCACCCCTACCTTTTTTTAATGGGGGGAGGGGGGGATTCACCCCTGTTTTTAAATTTCTAGATCACAAAAAGATATAAAGATCACATATCAGTCATTTCTGATTCTGACAAAACATGTAATGCCACACAATCCTTTTGTCAAATTGCTTTTGTACTTTTATACATTTTTATCAATGTGTTTCACTGTTTGAATCATATTGCACCTTTACAGCTTTAATAGAAAAGAAAGGCCTCAGATTCCACTGTGTGCCTTATTTCAGACACAAAGAGACACCCTAGAAGATCCATATGCTAAATAATAAGTTTTTAACCCCTAGACCACCACTATAGTAATAATTGCTATTGTCTTACTATGCCACAATATAATGTATAAATCATTGTTTTTGAGAGTAATGCAAGAGAGACAAATAAAACCTATTTGAAACCTCTTAGAATGTGTTGTTGTTTCTTTCTACACCATTTACAGGTATCATTAATTAGTATTTACTTGTACTGGTAAACGAAAGGTAAAAATTACAGATAAAACATGGAAAATTAGAAAAATCCCAGTTCTTTAAACTTTATTTGTGTCTAACCCCTAACATAGCTGCTTAGTATGTGTTGTTGCTTATTTCTACACCATTTACATGAATCATTTATTATTGTTTACCAGTACATGGTGTATTTACCTGTATAGGTAAAACAGGTAAATCAAAAGGTAAAATTAAACAGGTAAAACATGGATAATAAAATATGTCAGATTTTTTTTTACTTTTTTTACCTGAGACTAGTTATATCTAGGGAAGAGTCTGAGTAATATCTTTCACATACAGTCTACACTCTAATCAACAGTCTACACTCTAATCAGAGGACAAGTCTGAAGAAATGTCACCCTGAGCAGCATCGCAAGCAGCACCGACTTGCACCCTAAGAACAGGTTTGTAAACGAGCACTGTGATAAACCATAAAACATCTCGGGACACATAAGGCCTTCTTACACTTAGAACACCAGTAACTAGCTTGCTTTCGCTTGAAACCTTGGCGTTGTCTCTTTGACTGATTACAGGCAGTACAATCACCATATGGACGTAACCTGGAATCGCAGGAATTGCTTCTGGAAAATGTTTTTCTGTCAAACGAAGAGGTTTTTCACCTGTAATTCTTTTTCCTGCAGATGCTGTGGGTTTAGGAGCATTTGGGGATTCAGCTATAAGTGACTCAGCTAATGCTCGTCTGAACTCATAATGTCCAAGTTTCGGGTCATCATCTGAACATTTTTTGTATAATAGGTACGCATTTATGACGAACAAGTTCAATAAATGGAAAAACAGTTTTTTGTACCACTTGGCAGTTTTCCGCAAGCATGTGTAGTATTGGTGTATCTAATCTGATAAATCTACTCCACCCATGAAACGACAGTAGTCTGCAACACAATGTGGTTTTATAACCATATTGTTGGTTTGACGATCTATTTTGTTCAGTACACTTACATCAGCTTCATGAATAGTAGATATCATATGTACCACACATTTGTCAAAATATTTCACAATGAGAATGTCATCTTTTCTTCTATAAATACATACATATTTCTTCATCTTTCTTTTTTGTTGGATGGCCATTGGAACGCCTTTCCTGTTACAGCGTAGAGTACCACATGCGTATGTATGTAAAAGTACCAACTCCTCAAATAATTCAGGTGAGTTATAAAAGTTGTCCTAATAAACATGGTAACCTTTATCAAGGAAACTACACTGACATAATAATCCAATAACAATTTTACTGGTTTGACTTAAATCTTCTAGTTCTAATATTTCACAAAACCTTGTACATGAAGTAGGGGCATGTCCGGTATGTATTTCAAAACCTAAGCAATAAACTGAAGTAGCTTCGCACACCTGGTACAACTTTATGCCGAAGCGAGTTGGTTTTGCAGGATTGAAAACACGAAATCTTAGATGTCCTTTCCAAGCACATGTTGCTTCATCTAAACTTAGGTCTCTGTTAGGGGTATAAACATCTGAAAAAGCCGAATTTATAGAATTTAGGAATGGTCTAATCTTATACAGCGGGTCATAGCCAGACGCTCCAACTCCAGGCTGTAACTCATTGTCTGTTATGTGGAAATTACTGAGAATGTTTTGGAATCTGTTTTTACTCATGTGTGATCCAAAAATAGTAGTTTCATCAAGGTCATGGCACGACCAATACTTTTCTAAATCATCTTTCTGAACTAAACCCATTATAATGACTAAAGACAAAAAAACTTTCATTTCTTCAAGATCGACTGGGACCCATTTGACTATCCTTGAATGCGGACGAAATTCACCATCTCTGATTCTCCTTTCGGCAAAAATATTTGTTTGTGTAACTAAAGAACATTATGAAACTTGGTTTGGTTGAATTTGTCATAAAGTGATGCTCTCTTATCTATTAGTAACCTTTCCTCACTTTCTTTCCACTGATGGACTTGACTCTGGATGCTTTTACAATGGCTTTCTTCACTGCTGGTGTCACAGGCTGAAGCTGAAAATAAGTTATTTTTCATTTATCCTTTCGTCAATTGTATTTAACAGTACTTAACAGCCATTTAAATATTGGCCTATTACTGATAGTTATGTGACCTTGCAAAGAAAGGCAAAAACAGGTTTTAAAATCTTTGTGAAGACCCTTAGAGATGTAGAAAGTCCCATAATAAGTGCTGTAAATTGATATTTTTGCCCCTAATTGTAAAATCTGAAATATTTTCCATCATATTGCTTAATTGGAATTGAATAAAAAGCTTCTGAAAGGTCAACTGAGCCAAAATAACATGGTGTATCAATGCATTAACAGCAGACTGAAGGGTTTCCTTTTTAAAATGTATATGTTGTATATGACGTTCATTAAAAAGTTTCAAATTTAGAATAACTCTCACTCTGTTGACCTTTTTTTGGTCTTATAAATATATTTGATATAAATTCATTGTTGTCAATATATTGTACTTTTTCAATGATCTTGCATTTTTCGAATCTTCCCAGTTCAACCTAGACCGCCTCCGTGGTCGAGGGGTTAGAGTCGATGACTTCTAATCCAGTTACCTCTCTGGCGTGGGTTCGATCCCCGGGAGATGCTTTGGTAGTTTAGCGCGGAGGAAGGTAGTCTAGTACTGGTGTAACTCTCCAGGAACGATGGTTAGGAAACTACCCGCCTATATGACTGAAATACTGCTGAAAAAGGCGTTAAATAAAACAAACAAACCCAGTTCAACCTGAAGTTTTTGTTATTCCTCATGTGAGAAGTTAAGTGTGTACTGACTAGAATACGTTTAAACAGTTTTTAAAGTTTATTGGAATTTGTCAATGCGTTTCCCCTAACAATCTCTTGAAATAACATCTTGAAACAATCTCTTGAAACGACTTGAAACAACATGAAATGATAGACTGAAAATAAACAAAGAAATACCCTAAATTTCCACGTCATAAAACCAACACATTGAAATACAGTGATGTACATTTGTCAAGAAAGATAACTCTGTTAAGCATATTCCAAAATTTGTAAGATTTGCTTCCCTTGGAAATAATCTCTAAACATGGAAGTTACCTACATAATGTATCTAGCCAAAATAAATTACTTAAAACTGCATAAAAGAATGCCTAGCAACTAGAAATATCGATAAATAAACAGAAATTACTCTATCAAACCTTTCGCGATGCTTAACATTTTTCGTAATGCAAAACGCAATGGGTGGGGTAATAGAAATCCCCGCAAAAGCAATAATTAGCCTAAAAACATGTAGTGAACAAGGCAAAAATAGAAAACAACTATATTTACCAAATTAAGATTGTCCCATAGTAAATCAGTACATGTAATGACTAGAAAATACGAAATTTTCCTCGAAAAACAAGTCCCATGCTCTTTTACTAAAAAAGACTACTAAAAATATCGCTGTCATCTATTTCAACAACCCTATATACGTAGTAGGCACCTACATCCCATCCCCCTAATTGTTTAACAATTTCAATCCTACCGTGCAAAACTTCATATAAAAAACTTCAAAACTTTCCGCAAAAAATTTTGACATCAAAAAACAGTAGTGAAATGATTGCTAAATTATATTCTTACAAAAATAACAATTTTACAGCATTTTAAGCAAATGTACATGTTATAATATGGCATCTTAAAATGAAATAACATACATAAAATTCAAGATAATGTATGAAGTATGTTTTATCAAGAATCATTAATCAGTATCATAATATGAAATAATCATTATGATATGAGTATTTAAAGCAAAATACTGAATATTCAACATATAGCACAAGTCTATATAAATGTACACAGTTATGGCTTAAGCTTTAGCCATGCATAGTTAAGAATTGTCACTCATCCATTTCAAGGAGCAAACACAACTTGTCAATAGGACGGTCCAGATATGTTCCATGGGCAGTTTTAACCCTAACTCGTCTAACAAACCCTAGTCTGTCAGGCATAGCTGCCACAACCCTGCCCAAAGGCCATGAGCCTCTCAGAGCGTTCGAATCCACAATTAGCACAATACCCCCCTCTTTAAAGTTTCTTTTTCTATTATACCATTTTGCTCTCTCTTGAAGGAGTGAGAAGTATTCGTTGGTCCAGCGGGACCAGAACAATTAAGTTAGCCATGTATTGCACTTGACGCCAACGACGCCTACAGTAATTATCAGTTTTCACAAATACACCGGGTGGTAAGTTTGGATTGCGCTTCAACAACAAGAGATGATTTGGTGTCAAAGCTTCAAGATCATTATGATGATCGGAATTTCTACTTATTGGTCTACTGTTAATGATTGATTCAATTTCACACATTAATGTAGGCAAACCTTCGTCAGAACACTTTTCAAAATTTGTCGTACCAATCTGATCATTCTTTCCCATACTCCACCATGATGAGATCCTGCAGGCGGATTGAACTTCCAGTCAATGTCCTTTTGCCGTAACATATCCTGAATACGATTTACGTTCCATTCTTGAATTGAAGCTTTAAGCTCCCTTTTCGCACCAACAAAATTACTACTATTGTCAGACCTGATAGTAGTAACTTGACCACGACGCGCGATAAAACGTCTTAATGTATTTATATAGGAATCAGTATCGAGCGAAGCAGCCACTTCAAGATGAATAGCTCCACTGGTCAAACCTGTAAATAAAAATTATGCCGTACCTTTTCACTAAACTTCACTAAACTTCGGCCTTGTTTGACTTCGAATGGTCCAAAATAGTCAACACCAACCCGAGTAAATGGTGGTTCATCAGGAGTAACCCTGTCTCTAGGCAAATTCGACATCTTTTGTTCTCCGACACTTGAATTTTGACGCCGACAAACTACACATTTTGAAATCACCTTCCTCACCGCGGATGGCCCATTTATAAGCCAGTACTTTTCACGCAGGACTGATAATGTATGATTTCGTCCAACATGATTCAAACGTTCATGAATTTCTCTTAAAATCAGTTTAGACACTTCATAACTTTTAGGTAGAATTACTGGATGTTTACGTTCTTCAGGCATTCCGGAGTCTTGTAAACGGCCTCAAACGCGTAAAAGCCCATCTTCCATAACAGGGTCTCAATTTTGTATGACGCTGTTTCGCTTTAATCTACATGTAGATTCATTGTTTGTCAGTGTTTCAATTTCTTCCGGAAAGGCACATTTCTGGGTGTAACATAAAATACTCATTTCCGCATGCTTCAAATCATCAACCGTGACATATGGTTTCTTTTCACTAATGCTAGGAACTGCAACACTAACTCCCTTTGCCTTAGCTCTGTGAAGAAGTTTTTCGCGAATCTTTAAGATCCATGCTACAGCCCTTTTCAGTTTATACCACGACGAGAAATCAGTTTATCGAGAACTTCACGTGCAGCTGGTGACAGTACATTGTCAGCGCGATATTTCACAAAATTAACCTTTTTTACTTCTGGATCCTCATTTGATATTGTTTGGTTTACGCGATCTTCGGGCCATTCACTTTCATCTTTCCATATGAAGTCTGGTGCTATGATCCAGCTTTTGTTTAACTCGTCTACCATTATGCCCCTGGAGGCGATATCGCCAGGATTTATCTTGGTTGGAATATAGCGCCATTGCTCAGGATTTGAACCATCATGAATCACAGAAAGTATGTTAGCCACAAAGGTCTGGAACCTTGCAGAATTGTTTTCTATATACCGTAGTACAGCCATACTATCTGCCCAAAACACAGATTCGTCTAATTTAATGTCAATTTCTGACTTTAACATCTTGTCAGTTCGCACCGAGACTGTTGCATCCGTAAGCTCCAATCTAGGTTCTGTTATTTGTCTTGGTCCATTATCTATCTCTACATGGTAACCTTTAATTGTTTGCAAAATCCATTTATCACTTGTCAATTAATACCAGTTTTGGTGGTAAAGGCTAGTTTTAACTGCTACAAAACTTTCTGGTGTATTTATAAATTTGAAGTTTAATGAGGTACCTACTGTTTCTACATTTTGTTTTGGTATGGTCGTCTTTTGTTGAGATATCTCTGTTGTCTGAAGTTGTGTTGTAGTTGTTGTTTTTGTTGTTGGGGAACAGATTTCTGGTGTTTGTCCGATATGTTGTTCGTCGGTTTTGATGGTTTTGATTGGCCCTGTTCCCCTTCTTGAATAAAAAAGAACTTGTTTTGGTCGTCAAATGTCTTTTTGGTCCGTCAAGCTTTTTTTTATCATCTCTTGCAAATCATCTCTGAACAGCTGTTCTATCGATGCAGAACTTTCACAAAGACTGCGGTATTTTGGGGAGATTTCTGGTTTTGTTTTGTCTGCCCCTAAGATGCATTATTAAATTTTATGTTAAGACATAAAATTTTATAGGCATCCATGATATGTTCTGTGGCTGCGGATTGTTCCTTTCTTTAAAGCTTCCAGCGCTCTCAAAATGGCAATGAGCAAAAGTGCATAATTCTTGTGCGATTGTTGAAGGGAAAAATCATGGACTCTTGTGTCCCGTCGGAGTTGCCTCCAGATAAAATCATTTATCTTTGGCACTTGTAGGTTTTGAACATTCTTGGGTCTTTTATATTTGTTCTGGAGTTCTTGTAATTTATCACTATCTTTTTTGTCTCTCCTCCCCCTCAGGGCTTTGTTGGTGATTGTTGCCATCTGCTCACTCACTACCTCACTCACTTCCTGTTTTTTCAGGGTCTTCAAAATACTGAGCCAGATCCCCAATTGTATCTGGCTCTGCATGATTGTCTACAGTCATGAACATATCTATCTCATTGTCTGAATCACTTTCACTGTCAGTGTCAGATTCACTGACATTTATTTTATCTTTTTTGCTAGAGTTTGAGGTACCCCAGACTGACGGATTTCTTGTTGTTTTTTTGCTTGTTTTGCTTGTATTCTGTCAGTGTGTTCGTTATTGTTTTTTAAAACGCAATATATTGGTATATAACATTAATGTACTCCGCCATAGACAATAGCATCATGCAATCTTATGCGTAAATACATAAATATTTGCGACGCAGTTGAAAATTCTATATTTAGAATTTCGGGAATTTGAGAGATGGAGTTGGATAGCAAATCTCGATGTATTGTCAATGTTATAATTATACCCCGGCACAACAAAGTTGTAAGGGGGGTATACTGAAATCAGCTTGTCCGTCCGGCCATCCGGCCGTCCGTCGATTTTTTCTTGTCCGCCCAATAACTTAAGATTCCTTTGACCCTTAGTCTTCATATTTTGCATGGAGGTTAGTCATGATTAGTAGATGACCCCTATTGATTTTGAGGTCACTAGGTCAAAGGTCAAGGTCACAGGGGCCTTGACTTCAAAAAGCTTGTCCGCCCAATAACTTAAGATTCCTTTGACCCTTAGTCTTCATATTTGGCATGGAGGTTAGTCATGATTAGTAGTTGACCCTATTGATTTTGAGGTCACCAGGTCAAAGGTCAAGGTCACAGGGGCCTTGACTTCAAAAAGCTTGTCCGCCCAATAACTTAAGATTCCTTTGACCTACAGTCGTCATATTTGGCATGGAGGTTAGTCATGATTAGTAGATGACCCCTATTGATTTTGAGGTCAAAGGTCAAGGTCACAGGGACTTTGACTTCAAAAAGTTTGTCTGCCCAATAACTTTAGATTCCTTTGACCCTCAGTCTTCATATTTGGCATGGATGTTGATCATGATAAGTAGATGACCCCTATTGATTTTGAGGTCACCAGGTCAAAGGTCAAGGTCACAGGGACTTTGACTTCAAAAAGTTTGTCTGCCCAATAACTTTAGATTCCTTTGACCCACAGTCTTCATATTTGGTATGGATGTTGATGATGACTATAAGGTGACCCCTATTGATTTTGAGGTCACTGGGTCAAAGGTCAAGATCACAGGGACCTTGACAAAAAAAGCTTTTCTTCTCAATTGCTAAAGAATGTCCTGTCCGCAATGTATTGATTTTGACATTTTCACATTTGAAGCATGCAGAATACATAACTTAGCAATGCACTGGCAGGGAGGTTGTCCTTGAGCTCTAAATGGCCACTGTTGGTTCTGACAAAGTGGTATGCGGGGGTATTCACGCCATGATAGTGGCAGTTCTAGTTATATCTTGGAACAAATATCAAGTACTTGTGCAATTTTTAAATGAAAGGAATCAGCTAGCATGATTTTTTTTCAGCGTGAATTCCATGTTACAGCATTCGATAGTGAATGTTCGTCCCACGGCCTTTCGCCATCCACCAACAACTCGTTAAGAGATTTACTGTTGGGGGGGGGGGGAGGTTCTTTCATAATGAGTGGTCTGGTTAGATAGCTAACCAAAAACTCTGTACCTATGATAGCAAAGGATACATTTTTTTATGCAGATTCAGCCAATTATTTTGTGGCAAAATTCTGTGAGAAATTCAATAATGGCGGTCAGTGCTAT